GTGTAGTTGGAACGGGTTGTTTCCATTTTTTTTCAATCTCAAAAAATACTACTTTGAACATTCTCAAATATATCTCCTGGTACATTACGTATCAAGAAGTTTTCTGCAATGTATATCTAGGGGTGGAATTGTGAGGTGGTTACATGTAAGTTTAATTTTACTAAGTAATGACAAACTGTTTTCCTAAGTAGTGGTATCAATTTATATTCCAGCTAGTAATGTATGTAAAGTTCTCATTATTCTACCTTTTTGGTAGCACTGAATTTTTTTTTTTCTTTTTGAGATAGGGTCTTGCTCTGTCACTCATGCTGGAGTGCAGTGGTGCGATCAAGGCTCACTGCAGCCTCAACCTCTTGGGCTCAAGTGATCTTCCCACTTCAGCCTCCCAAGTAGCTAGGACCACATGCATACGCCACCATGCCCAGCTAATTTTTTTTTAAATGTTTTTGTAGAGACAGGGTCTCACTTTGTTGTCCATGGTGGTCTCAAACTCCTAGGCTCAGTGATCCTGCTGCCTCAGCCTCCCAAAGTGCTGGGATTTCAGGTGTGAGCCACCACAGCCTGGCAGTAATAATTTTATCAGATTTTAAAATGTTTACCAACCTGAAGCGTATGGCTTAATTTACATTTCTTAGATTACTAATGGTGGTAAGCATTTTTCATATGGGTAAGTGTTATTTGGGTTTCCTATCCTGAGAAATGGCTGTTAGTAGCTTTGTCCATTTTTTTCTTGACTCATTTATCTTTTACTTATTTTTTATAGTAATTCTCTGGAGTTCTATGCCGGATACTAATCTTTTGTTGCATATATATGTTGAAGATACTTTCTCCAGGTTTGCAGCCTTGTCTCTTTGCATTCTTTATGGAGTCTTTAATGAATGAAAGTTTTTGAATTTCTGTAGTAAAATTTATCAATTTCTTAACATTTTACTTTTCATGTCTTATTTAATAAGTACTTCCCTATTCCTGAGGTGATGATACTCTCTCACATTTTCTTCTAAAACTTAAAAAAAAAAAAAATGGAGACAAGAATCTCATTCTGTCACCCAGGTTAGAGTATAGTGGCACAAACACAGTTCACTGCAGCCTCAACCTCCTGGGCTCAAGCAAACCTCCTGCCTCAGCCTTCCAAGTACCTGGGCCAACAGGTGTGCACCACCATGCCTGCCTAATTTTTGACTTGTTATAGAGACAGGATCTCATTTCGTTGCCCAGGTTTGTTTCAAACTCCTAGGCTCAAGCAATTCTCCCACCTCGGCTTCCCAGAGTGCTGAGGTTAGAGGTGTGAGCCACATTTTAGCCCTTAATTCACCTGAAATTCTTATTTTTGGTATGGTATGAAGTAGAAAACTAATTTCCTTTTTCTTTTCCCTACAGAGATAACTAATTGTCTAAACAATATTTATTGAAAAATCCAATTTCTCCTTCGATTCACAGGGCAAGTAGCAAGTTTCCTATGACTATTTCTGAATTACTAATTTTGTTCCACTGACTTATGTGCCATACTGTGTAAATACCACATTGTCTTAATTATTATAGTTTTATAATAATTCTTGATATCTGGTAAAGTATGGTAGTCATTAATACTGTTTGGCAAATATCTCTGATCTTGTCCCTCTCAAGGATCACCATAGGACTGCAGTTCCAGGTTCCCTTGTGGGTCAGTGGAACAAGATGATTACTCCTGGACAATGAGCTGTGAGCAAAAGTGACCTGCTGAGCATTTAACTGCCTGTGCAAAACCCTCCAGAGCTCTTTTTTTCCCTCTGGATTAGCAACTAATATTTTATATGGTGGTCAAGCCTGGTAGCTCATGCTGGCACCTTGAGAGACCAAGGTGGGAAGATCACTTGACGCCAGGAATTCCGAGACCAGCCTTGGGTAACACAGCAAGACCCTGTCTCTACAAAAACAAAACAAAACAAAAAGAGTCAGGCATGGTGGCACACATGTATATTCCTAGCTACTTGGGAGGCTGAGGCATAAAATTGCTTGACCCCAGGAGTTTGAGGCTGCAGTGAGCTATGACCAGTACCACCATATTCCAGGCTGGGTGACAGAGCAAGATCCTGTCTCTAAAAAATAATAATATTCAATATGATTGTAGCTTTGGTACCTAAGTGACTATAATCAGCAGTTTCCCTACTTATCTTCAGTGAATGAGAAATAAATCTTTGGTATATTTATCACAGGGATTTTAGGGTTGTTTGTTACTACAACATAATTTAGCATAGTCTGGGCCAGGCATGGTAATTCATGCCTATAACCCTAGCACTTTGGGAAGCTGAAGTGGAAGGATTGCTTGATTCTAGGAGTTCAAAACCAGCCTAGGCAACATAGTCAGTCCCCATCTTTACAAAAAATTTTAAAATGAGCCAGACATGGCAGCATGTGCCTGTGGTCCCAGCTACTGAGAAGGCTGAGGCAAGAGGATTCCTTGAGCCCAGGAGGTCAAGGCTGCAATGAACCATAATAGCCCCACTATACCGCAGCCTGGGCAACAGAACAAGATCCTATTTCAAATAAATAAATAAATAAATAAATAAATAATAACTTAGCCTACTTACTCTTTAGTCATTCACTTTATTGTTATTTTTCAGTAGTGTCCTATTTTTCCCTGTTTGTTATATAAATTTCAGAACTGTCTTTTCTCAACTTCCAAAATAAGCCTGCTGATCAGAGTATACATGAATACCACCACACTGCAAAACAAATGGCATTATCTAAAAAAGTTGAAGACATACATATTCTATGATCTAGCAATCCTAGTCCTGGGCATGTGTACAAAAGAAATATGTACACATACATAAACATGTACAAAAATGTTCTTAGTAATACTGTTCATAAAAATAAAAACAGAAACAATCCAAATGACTACCAATATTTGGTAGTCATTTGGCAGAAGGGACCACCAACAGTGATTTATTCACACAAAGAAATACCAATGCTGGCCGTGGTGGCTCACGCCTGTAATCCCAGCACTTTGGAAGGCTGAGGTGGGTGGATCACCTGAGGTGAAGAGATCGAGACCATCCTGGTCAACATGGTGAAACCCCGTCTCTACTAAAAATACAAAAATTAGCTGGGCGTGGTGGTACATGCCTATAATGCCAGCTACTTGGGAGGCTGAGGCAGGAGAATTGCTTGAACCTGGGAGGCAGAGGTTGCAGTGAGCTGAGATGGCACCATTGCACTCCAGCCCGGGCAACAAGAGTGAAACTCCGTCTCCAAAAAAAAAAAAAAATCTGCCTATCATGGACTTAAAACTCCAGAGTAAGTTGGGTGTGGTGGCATGAACCTGTAATCCCAGCTACTCTTGAGCCCAGGATCAAGACCAACCT